TTGTCAGGAAGACCTTGTTCCTGATGAGAATAGACTATTAAATTAATTCTCTGTATTACCTTGGGACCTATCTTGCCCCTTTGTGTCAGATGATGTTTTTTACAGGAAATTGGGTACACACAGTGTTCAATGTATATAATAGTTGTATTTTCTTGATGGGTTGTTCCCTTCATCAATATGTAGCAACATTTTTTGTCACTTCTTACTGATTTTGGCTTAAAGTTTGTTTTGTTGCATGTAAATATACCTACTTCAGCTTCAGATTTCATTTGCTTGGAATGTAATTTTCCATCCTTTCACTTTCTGTCTGTATATGTTTTTTGCTGGTGGAATGAGTATGCTGGCAGGATATTGTTGGGGCTTGCTGTTAATTGGAGAATTAAGACTAGTTATGTTTTGAGTTTTTATTGAAAGGTATATTCTTGTTCCTTAATTTTATTGTTTTTCTTTTTGTTGTTTTCAATATTCTGTTTATTTTTTTCCACTCTTTTTTGTCTTAGGTGTTTGAAGACCTACTGTATTAGTAATGTGTAATTCTTTCCTAATTCTCATTTTCCTATTCCTCTAGTAAGATTATTCTTCCCCAAGTTCTTGTGCTTGCTTGTGTCCCTCCTCCTACAAGTGTACCTTTTGCAGTGCTGGTTTAGGGGCCGTGAATTCTCTTCATGTATGCTTGCTGTGGAAGGTCTTTATTTCTCCTTTGATTCTGAAGGATTAATTTGCTGGATGTAGTAATCCAGGTTATAATCCAGGTTGGCAGTTGTGTTCTTTCAGGACTTGAAATACTTTATTCAGTTCTCTCGTAGACTTTAGATTTCTTCTGAGAAAGTTTGTTATTCTGGTAAGTTTACCACTGAATGTGATTCAATGTTTCTGGTGTCTTTTTTTGTTTTCTTTTGTTTTTTCTTACATCTTTAAATGTTTTCTTTGTTCTGTACTTTGGACAGCTTGACTGTAATACATCATGGAGAGGTTCTTTTCTGGTCATGTCTATTTGGGGTTCAGTGTGCTTCCTGTGTCTGAATGTCCTGGTCTTTTCCAAGCCTTAGAAAATGTTCTGGTATTTCACTGAACTAGTTTTCTATGCCTTCAGTCTGTAGCTGTTTTCCTTCCACTATTCTGATTATGTGTATGTTTAATCTTTTTAATGGTGTCACAGAGGTCTTGTATGTTCACTTTATTCCTTTTTTTTATAACTTCCTGAATGTAGAATGCATTAGCCTTGTCTTCAAGCCCTTATATTCTTTCTCCCATTTGATGTAGTCACTGAGGCTTTTAATTGAGACTTATGTGACTTACTGAGATTTTCATTTCTAAGATCTCAGTTTGTTTCTTTTTCAAAATCTGTTTATTGAATTGTCCATTTATATCTGCATTGTCTTTCCTAATTCATTCAGCTGTTTACTTGTCGCTTCTTGGAATTTATTTATTTTTAAAATTTTAGAAAAAAAAAAACGAGTAAGACCTTACTTCTTGAAATTTATTGAGCGTTTAAGAAAATCATTCTTTTGAGTTCTTTGCCCAGCATTTCATCCAGTTGAATATCTTTGGAATCAGTTACTACAGAGTTAGGAACCATAGAAAGTGTCTGTACTTTAGCCATCAAATTGATTCTCTCACAAGTTTCCATGAGGAAACAGAGGTATTCAGTGAAAGAAACTGTCCCACCACGAGGGACATTATGCTCTGTATTTGTGCAGTTTATGAATGACCATGGAAAAAGAACTTTTTTTTTTTTTTCTAATAATCCTCTGGATTTTTTTTTTAATTTTAAAGAGCAAAAACAAAAGAAACAAAGACAGAAACAGAGTAACAAGTAACAGAACAAATGGTACAGAATTTCATAATAAGAATAAAAATTTAACAATGGTTGTTGTATTACATATTTTCATTATCAAATAAAAAAACTGTGCTAGAACCAACTTATTCATCATCTTCTTCTTCATCCTCCTCCTCTTCCTTCTTTTTCCTGCTTTTTTCACCTTGACAACTTCCTTTTTTGCTGCTCCAGGTTTTCCTTTAGCCTGATAGGCAGCAATGTCCTTTTCATACTTCTCCTTTACATATATATATATATATATATGGCAAGCACAAGATCCTGATCCCCAGAACCACAAAAAAAAAAAAGAAGAAGAAGAAGAAGAATTTAGTGAGTAGAATCATCCTCCTGTACTTTAGCTATCAAACTGATTCTCTCACAAGTTTCCATGTTACCAGGCACTGAGGTATTCAGTGAAAGAAACTGTCCCACTATGAGGGACATTATACAAAAGGAAGGAGCTACAGAGCGATTACCTGACTTCTTTTTTTTATTTATGTGATACACAGTCTCACTGCGCAGCTCAGACTCATAGTGATCCTCCTTTCTCAGCCTCCCCAGCACTGGGGTTACAGACATGTGCCACCATACCTGGATTTGAGGTAGACGCAGCAAGCCCGGGTTCCAGAGACAGCACGGCATGCAGTACCAGGGATCAAACTTGGGTCCTCATGCTTGCCAGGCAGAGTTTAAACTGCTGAGCTGTCTTCCCAGCCCTACCTGAATTCTTGCAAGTCAAATTTTTGTTATTCTAAAGCATTTGTTCCCCTTTAACAGTATCGTAATAACGTGAACCTTTCAATTTAAGGGTCAGGGTTAGGATTACAGCTAGGGTTGGGTAGCCAGTTTTCCAGAATCATTTATTGAAAAGGCTTTTCTTTCCCAATTGACTGACTTTAGTGTTGATGACTTTGTTGAGAATTGAGTGTACTTATGCGTATGTGCACTTGTGTGTCTAACTCTGCACTTCCTGCTTTGTCATTGATCTGTTTGTCCTGTTTTATTATTTATTATACTTTTAAAATTATTATAGATTTATAATTTGGATTATTATAATAAATTAGAGTAATGAATTTTGATGCTTTAATATGTGCAATTTTGTTTTTCTTTATAAGATTATTCTGGTTATTTAAAATTGTTATTTCTATGTGAATTTTAGGACTGGCTGACTAGTTTCATTCCAAAAACCTGCTCATACTTCATTGGGATTGTTTTGAATCTATATACTTTTTGAGAAAAGTGAACAGGTGTCTATTGAGTCTTCCAATCCATGAATATCACCTGACTCTCCATTTACTTAGGCCTTAACTTTTTCTAACAGTGTTTGATGGTTTATATTGTTGAAGGTTTTGCACACCTAATTATTTAGTATATTTTTGATACTCCTGCACCTTTTAGTTTCACTTTTCTGTTATTAATGTTTAGGGATGCGTTGCTTTTCACATGCTGATTTTGTATCACAAATTTTTTAAATTCACTTTTATTCTAATAGTTTTTAAATAGATTTTGTAATTTTCTACGTACACAATCATGTCATCTGCAAATCTTTTCAAATCTTTCTGCCCATTTATCCCTGTTTTGGCTCATAGTTAGGTGCCCTCACAATGCGTCATGGACTCAGGTGGGGCTTTTTGGAGTGACTGGGTCATGGGCATGTGATCCTGGATTAGCGATTGCAGTCGCACAGTTGTGTGTGAGACTGCTGTGATACCGCTGCAGCATGGCTCTGGGTATGGAGGTGGACTTAATGAAGGAAGACTTCCTGGGGATGAGTGAAGTCTTAGCAGTATCATTTATTGGTACTGCTAAGACTTATTTAGTAAAGAAAAAGAAAAAAACTTGCTGGACACAGTTCTAGGTTACAGAAATGTCAGCAAGTTAGAGAAGAAAAGCGCAGCCCAGCAAACATATTGTCATTCAAGTATAAAGTGAATAAGTAGTCGTATGGTCTCAATGCAGTACAAAGGGCAAGAAGGATGTGCCTACTGCTTCCTGCCCACTGTGCCCGCTGCCGTACCCCCCTACCTTGGAGCCAGCTGATTGTAGACTGACCCCTCTACAGATTGTGAGCTAAAGTAAACCTTTTCCTTGGGTTAGGTATCTTGTCCCAGAAACAAGAATATATCTAAGATATTCCCTTAATGTGTACTGTGTTAGTAACGTTTCTGTTACTGTGACAAGAATATAAGATAAACAGTTCATGAGGAGAAAAGACTCATTTGGCTCATAGTTGCAGAGGATCCCACCAGCAAGGAATAATTATCGATAATGTCAGATTACCATTTTCCACATATGTCTCTGTGGTTATATAAATATAAAAGAATGGTTAGAACTACTTTCACATAATATATATGCTATTTTAAGTGTTGTCACTTACAATAAATTTAAATGTGTTAATTTCACTAAGAGCAGTATAAAAAGATGAACTTCACAAAAGGATCTTCACAAGAGATAATAATTGTGGAAAATGGTAATTATAAAAGATTCATCAAAGTGACATAAAATGTTGAATTTTTGGTGATTTAAAAAACTATACATTTCTGTATGTATAACTTTTCCACAGCGTGCTGTGTCTTGCTGTGAGAGATAAAGAAACTAGTGCTTTCAACTGCTTTTCACTTTCCCTCCTCCTCCCAATTGCTCCCTAATTTTTCAGTTGCAATTACATGTCACATGTGGCTTGTAATATTTATATACCTTCCTGTCATGTATGTATTTGCTTAGTCTATTCAGTTTTTAATTGGATTCAGTTCTAACCATCATCTCTTAGGTCATCATCTCTGACTTTTTCATTAGAGTTCTTTATTTTTATTCATCTCTTGGTTGGCTAGTTTTATTATCTAGTAGTTTTCTCAAGAAATGCTCAGTTCTTTTTTCTATCAGTCACTTTATACTTGAATGACAATAAGTTTGTTGGACTGTGCTTTTCTTCTCTAACTTGCTGACATTTCTGTGACCTAGAATTGTGTCCAGCAATTTTTTTTTCTTTTATATACTAATACTTGGTTTTGATTTTCCCTTTTAAAATCAGATTACCAGTTTTCAGAGACTATATGTGAATTCTGTACCTTTTCAGTCAGTGCACTTGAGACGTTACCAGGAAGAATGACCACAGTTTTGGAACTGATGCAAGATGGGCATTGGGGGAATAGTAGTCACTCATCTTCCCTTTCCTTTCCAGAGATAATTGATGACCTTGCCAACCTTGTAGAGAACACAGATGAAAAGCTTCGCACTGAAACCAGGCGTGTGAACTTGGTGGACAGAAAGTCAACCTCATGTGGTAAGACATGGTAGTCATTGTGGATCTGCTCTTCTGATCTCTTGTTCTGATCTCTCTGCTTTAAGTTTCCTGTTTGTCGAATTAAGGATTTTTTTTTTTTGCCTTCCTAATATAGCTAGTATCATTTGATGCAAATTTGAAATTGCTGAAATGTACATATATATATGTATACACATATGCATATATGTACATACACATATGTATATATAATATATTGCACTTAGTGTTTGGTATATGTTTGCGCTGAGCAAGTTTTAGTAATTAACATTATATATAAAGTAGAAAGAGTCTGCACAATTCAGCTCTCAATTTGCTTATGTTCTAATCAGTCACGTTGCTTGTCATGAACATATTCATAGATGTGTTTGTATGTTTTTACATTTACAACATGGTGGTCCTGAGCACGTCACTCTAAGTCTTAATGAATGTAGAATGTTTCTTCTACTGTTGCTGATTTTTTAATACCTAATATTTAGTATTTATATCCAGAAAAGGTCAATTTAGTTAGTAGAGCCTATTCACAGGCAAAAATCAGAATGTTCTGTAATCTGGAAGGAGCAGACAAGTGAGTTTTAGGTCCACTCCAACTAGAAAATGTAATAAGAGACCCTCCCACATTAAACAGGGATCCAAAAGAGAAAAAATAAAGGAAATAATAATACTGTACCTGGTAAGCTGGGGTCACAGAAAGCCCTTAGCGTGCATTTGCAATCTGGACATACTTGTGTATGTGCAGAGTAACCCAGGAAACCGTGGGCCTTGAATTTGGTTTCAGACACACTCATGTATTACAGTTCTAGTTACTTGTCAAAACCAAATGGAAGGGGGCCTGGCCCTAGCTCAGGCCTTTAAGTGGCTGCTTCCACAAAGCTGTCAGCCTCAGGTTGCTGGAGTTCGAACCTCACA